AAAGGTTCAGCTACGGCATCACTAACTTGGCTGTTCGAAGATGCGCAATGCCTGGATGTGAAATTCAAGAATATTTGACCAAACATGTTCGAGTATGACTTGCATTCGACTGTTTCCGGCAAAGATAGACTCGTAATTCTTGAAGATGGGCAGATTCTTCGATATAGTATCGTACGCGTCGAGAAGAGCATCAAACGAGTCGGACCAGGATGCGGCAGTCTTTTCAAATGGTCAGCAGCGCCAGGACACAAGGAAAGCGCGGACAGACCAGAAGAAGAAGTTTCACCGGGCCCCATATAAATGCTAGGAGATCAGCAGCGTTCAGAAAGACCTCGATCACCTTTGCAAACTGCTCCATGGCTTCGAGAAATGCCTGAATCCTTCCCATGTGCATCATCTCTTTTCGAGCTCGTTGTTTAGACTGGATCGCCAATATTGTGATCTGCAAATCATCAAGAGTGGCTGTTTTGAATTGAGCCCTTTCAGCTGAGCTCAGCCGACTATGGAAAGCTTTCAGAGCCTTCTCGAACCCGTTGGGCGAGCTTGTCTGTGGAGTAGAGGACATTATAGTTACTACATCAATCACACTTCAAAAGGATACGTAGACCTGATCGTACAGAGTTTCAAGAAGTCAAAGATTGCCAACTTTAGATTCAGGCAGAGCCTCGTCGGTGAATCTGTTTTGCAGGAGGTACGTATCTAGTCTGCTGAGCTAATCAATCGCCGGCCAAATATGCAGCCATTGCACAGCCCAGATAGCTAAGATCATGTGAGTCTTGGACAAGGCTGTGGTATTTCCTATTAGGCTTGAACAACCGCACTCATTCAAATCCGCCAAGATACATCGAGTGCGCTCTGGCTCTTGCCTGAAGACTATCAAATCTCAATATGCAAGCCTATGTGAACCTAATGGATGCAGTGTATGATGATGATCGGGCCAACGATAGGTCGGTTGACTGCCAAGCCTCAGCCCATTCGACATGGGACACGTATTGGGAATCTGACCTTTCGAATGAGCTACAACTACCGGATAACTTCTTTGAAGGAGCAGATCCTATGATTGATATTAATGGACTAGGTCAATCATGGATGAACATACAGGAATGGGCCGATGCCTCATTATTACGAGAACCAATCGCTAAAAACGTCTTGGAAGGCATCGCATTGGAAAGCCGTGCCGCAGGAAGTCGATTCTGTTGCTACGGCATGGTGAGTTCACACAAAAGTCGTAAGCCATGTGAATATCACGTTAATGTCTTAGCTTAATGGGGTTTCTATAAAGCTTGTCGGTAACATGCCAGAATTGGCTGCGAGAGTGGATCCTCTATGTGCTTATCAATCTTTCGACGTGTCTAAGTCATCTAATTATTTTATGTTGAAATTTCTAGATGATAGCTTGTTTGCTCAAGTCAGCGAACTGGTGTATAAAGGACTGGATGCACTTCAGAAGTATTCTTCTGTTGAGATTAAAGCTTACGTTAAGACATCAACACTCCAGTCAGTTTTCCGGAAAGCCAAACGACCCGCAGAAGCTATACTGAAAGCGGATCTAAATATCTATGGATCTCCAGATGATGCCGACGGCGTTGGCTCTGATTTAAGCTGTCAACATCTCTATTTACAAGATCCTGACCAGGGCACACAAGACATCGAGTATAGTAACCCTCATGTACTACATTTTCCTGGTATTGAGGAGCCGCTTGCGAAGGGGACCGAAGAAACCAACATTGCGAAAGTGCCCGATGTCTCCAGAGCTGTTAGAGATGAGCAGGTTGTGTTTGAGCAAACCATTACGACACTTTACCAGTCACTGTCGCGTTATCGCAATGTTGAGAGAACAGGTGCTGGTGGACGTATCCTCACACCGCTTTTACCGTCGGTTGCGCCGTTTTATAGTATTCTCTCGTCTCATTAGTTGATCTTGAGTATTTCTGGTTCCAATAGTCCGCTGACAACCCGTTTCTAGTCACCAAGAATCTGCACTCTCTTTCATGCTTGAACGAGAACAAGGGCCAGTCAATCCACAGTTCCGCCTTTGGACACATGAGTGTAACGTCACAACGCCTTTGTATGGTTCACGACTTTTTTCAGCACGCATGATGATTAGATTAACACTTCGATAGGTACCGACATAAGTTGACTAATGCCGAGTCAATGGAGGAGCCCAAAGAGTTAGGCGGTGGGATCCTTGCTGACGAGATGGGCATGGGAAAATCACTCAGTACATTGGCTCTTATCATGGAAACTTCAAGTGTCTCTGAGGCATGGTCCAAGGAATCATCTTTGCTACCGCAAAAACAACGATCACAGGCGACACTTATCATTGTGCCATCTACTCGTACGTACTGATGCTGATTCTCATTTATTCGATACGATTGAACTAAGCAGTCTTACTCTGGTGGTAGTCATCATGAATTCGTGGTCAAAAGAGATTGAATTGTCCGTGCCCATCCTCCCCGTTCTTTTTTGGAGTATCCCTAAACAGATATAGGCACCTTGATAGAAACGTCCGGGTTCACAAGTACTACGGAAAAGGGAGGAACCAAGATATCCAAGATTACTTATCTCAGGATATTGTGTTCACAACATATCATACCGTTGCTGCGGCTGCAAATCAAAGTCACAGTATCATTTTCAACATTGAATGGTTTCGAGTTGTTTTAGATGAAGGTAAACAGAGCCAATCTTCGCAATGAGAAAGACTGGCGGTCTAATAAACATTACTCAGCACATATGATTCGCCGTCGCGAGACAACCCTCTTTCAGGCCGCCAGTTTACTCTCGGCTACCTTCCGATGGTGCTTAACCGGAACTCCGATTCAGAATCATTTAGAGGATGTCGGCTCTCTGCTCTCGTTTTTGCGAATAAGTCAACTGGAAAACAAAGCCGTCTTCCAAAACTATATCGTCAGACCTTTCGACGACAATGTGGAATCTGCCTCCAAAAACTTCGCGTTCCTCTTCGATTGTATATGTCTTAGACGGCCACAAGAACTGTTACATTTGCCAAACATCACCGAAACGTATCAATATGTAGATCTGACAGAAGATGAGCGACTACACTACGATAACACATTGACCGCGATGTCACAGTTTATCAGGGACAAGGCGAAGCTCAATCCGGCCAAGCGCGATGCTTTTGGTATTTTTCAGGCGCAACTACAGCTCCGACTTGTGTGTAATCATGGGACATATCAAAAGCCATTTACAAAAAACAAACACCGAGATACCAAGGCGGAGCGTGAAGAGTTTCTATACACACTTGGAAAGAATGCAGAGAGCATTTGCTCGCAATGCGGTATCCCTATTGCCGTGTTTGACCTAATTGGGGATTCTTATGCACATTGTCGTCAATGTGGTCATAAGCTTTGTCAAGACTGCATTTTACAAAATTCCAAGGGACCTGAAAACCCAGAAAACCCTACCGAGTCAACTTGCCCTATTTGCAACCGTATCAGTAGGTATCCTGACAACTGCCGGACGCCCCCGAAGAAATATCTGGAATGCGATGATGGCAAAGAAGGATACTTCAACAAAATAGGGGTTTCCTCCAAGATAGAAGCGTTGATTAGGGATCTGACAGACAGCGGCAACGGAGATACTAAAAGGTGAGTGCTTTAGATTATTTTATTGATCATTCGACTACTAACTCCGTCAATAGCATTGTATTTTCTAGCTGGACTCGAAGCTTGGATCTCGTCTCTGTTTATCTCAAAAGACGCTATATTTTGCACCAAAGAATTGATGGCGACCAGGTCCTTTCAGAACGCCAGTTGAACATGGATAAGTTTGTTTCAGATGAGCGATATGCCATTCTTCTCATGAGTACCGGTGTTGGTGCATTTGGGTATGACTAGCTCCGGTTTTGATTGCAAAACTAAATTGACCGTTGATAGTCTTAACCTCACAGCAGCGAGCCGGGTCTATATCTTAGAACCACAATGGAACCCTAGTGTAGAAAGTCAAGCCATTGGCCGAGTATCCCGACTTGGACAGAGAAAGGCGGTTACGATCACTCGATATCTTGTGCGGAGAAGTGTTGAAATTGTATGTTCAGTCGAGCTGAAACATCCTACAAGGCATACTAACCTGTTTTAAGAACATGCATACTCAACAGGTTCGAAAGATTGAGCTTGCAAAACTTGGATCAAAGTCTACCGTGGAACCTAGTACTTGACTCAAGCTTCCTCAAGATTTTAGGTTGAGAAGACAAGGTGATGACATAGAGAAAATCCCTGTTCTGGCCCGATGATTTTTGAAATATACTCAAATAATGCATCGCTATTGAATCAATCTATAAGGCCTTTGTTCTTTGTCACAGGATCAGTATCGAGGGCCGTGGCTATGGAAAGGCCTGTAGTAGAATAGCCTAGATCTAGATCATAATACTCCTGTGGCTTTGAGAAAGGGTAGGGCGACGGGCGAAGGTCTAGGTGCAAAGTGGTGTGTGATGAGGTGGAAGGCACCAAATCCTGCGAGAGATCATATGGAAGGCTATCTAAAGCGGCTGACGGCCACCTGGCAGCCAGACGCCCAACAGAGAACCCCTTCGTCTCCAACCAAATCCACACCACAGCGGCTTGCCTATCTTGGCCTCTCACGATTTATCAGTTACTTTATTTTGCCTGAATTTCAAGAATCTTGCAAGTAGCTGCTTCTTTCTTCTCGCTTCGTGGCTCATGTCTCTGGACTTCAAAGTACAATGTCTTGGCTGGTATGGTAGAAGTAAACTTGATGGGACCCGTACTGATCGCCCATATTTTCCAGTCTTGTACTGCCATATTTCACAAGAAAATCAACCCATTGTGAAAGTTGACTGTTTGCCATACCTATCACAGCGAGACAGTGAGGGCTGGAGATGGATCACAAGATGCTACTAGTGCATGGTGTTTCTGGTCACTGTAGTGCTCACATACCACATGTACCGCAACCAGACGACTCTCTTGAAGCACGCAGAGCCGATGCTAGGAGATGCCCTCCTGTTTCGTTAAAACCGTGACATGGGCCACTATCTTGATGAACTGAAAGAGACTGCGGGTAACGAGCCCAATGCAGAGAAGATTGACCTCGTCGAATATGCGCGGAAGAAAGAGTTAAGCAACTGGGTGGTCTGGATGGAGGGCGACGTTTTCCACATCCGACAGCAAGGTCAAGGGTCCGCGAATGGGAACGGAACTGTAATGAACAATCTTCATGTCTAATAAACGGGCATGCCCGAATGAGATAGATGCTCTGCGCCTTCCCCGTGGAAACTCGTGTACTCCCGGTGAATACACAATTTGGCCCTTCATCGCATCGTCTTTGGGTATGCTGAAAACATGCCTGACTTTGAGTCATGCATCGACATGCGTGGATTTGTGTTTCTCCTTGAACGGTCGATCGCGTTTTCAATAATAGCCTTTTGATGTGGGATGTAATGGGCACAAGATCAGATTCTGATAAGACACTAATTCTGTCGGTGCAAAGAGATCTCATCAATTGCCTTCGACATAAATGCAAATCAAGTCGGGGCTATTTGCCTGTTTTCCGTATATGTAGGTGTATCTCCGTCTTCGAGAACTGCAGTCGAGATTGATAAATCGGAATTCGAGTGCTCAGATAAAATAGCAGCCGTCTCATGGACGGCTCACAAACGATATGCTTGGTGGGGCACCTGAGTTGCCCCGAAAACTGCCCCTCCGAATCAGAGCTTCTTGAGAGCACCGAAATTTTTTGGACGAAAAGTCATAGCTTCCATCCCAGGACTACAACAAGCCACAGCCCGAACATCTAGGCGCCAATTGAAGGGGAGCAAGCCAACCGCTCGAGAAAACGGCCCACCTTGATTCTTTTTCAGGCGCATAGCATAGCTGTTTCCAGGCGTTGCACCATGCCGCTCGACACCTCGGCCTACTCCCTGGCGCTGCTGCGAGTCGACGGCCGCCGCTGGAACGAGCTGCGACGATGCCATGCCCAGATCCGCACCCAGGCTGCTGCCGATGGCTCCAGCTACCTCGAGATGGGCAACACGAAGGTTATGTGCGTGGTGAACGGACCGACTGAACCTCGGCGAGGTGGCGCGGGAGGAGGTGGCGGCGCAAGCGAGCAGACCAAAGAGGCGCAGGTCATCGTGAGCATCGTCGTCGCGGGTTTCAGCTCCGTCGACCGCAAGCGGCGGGGACGGGGCGACAAGTGAGTTCATGCACAAGAAGGGACCGAAAGCACGGGGAAAACGTTCTATACTAACGAGTGCGCACCGTCTGCAGGCGCATCCAGGAAATGCAAACGACCATCTCGCGCGCCCTCTCGAGCACGCTGCACACGCACCTCTTCCCGCACTCGACCATCAACGTCTCGCTGCACGTGCTCAGCCAGGACGGCTCGCTGCTGGCGGCGCTGATCAATGCGTCCGCGCTGGCGGCCATCGACGCCGGCATCCCGATGACGGACTACGTCGCCGCCTGCACGGCGGGCAGCACCTCGAGCTACGCGGCCAACGACGAGGCCGCCGACCCGCTGCTGGACCTCAACCAGCAGGAGGAGCAGGAGCTGCCGAGCCTGACGGTCGCGACGCTCGGCGAGAGCGACAAGGTCGTTGTGCTCGTGTGCGAGAGCCGGGTGCAGGTCGCTAGGCTGGAGGGCATGCTCGCTGTCGGTGTTGACGGATGCAAGCAGGTGCGAGAGATCTTGGACCAAGTAGTGAGAGAGAAGGGAGGACGTATGGTGCGAGAGGGAGTGGTAGAGAAAGGCGTGGGCGTCGGGGATATGGACATCGACGGTTGAAGCGGTGGCGAACACGCGTTAGAGGTTACGGGCTCGAACAAGTCGAGGTCGAGGTGCCTCTGGATTTGTCACCGCAGACACCATGGACAGAAATCAAGACATGAAAGGTAAGACGATTTTTGACATTCGGCTATCTGGCATTTTCATCTTTTAGGTTTTGTAATCCCATCTCGCTATATTATTCCCAAAGCCAAACCTTTTTGCTAACAGTACAATGTTCATAGTCGATTTCAGAACGCTCATAGCTCGTCATGCTCATCGCCCGTCTTCGCATCGGGAACCGGGTCAGCGCCGGACTGTGGGGTAGAAGTCTCGGTGCTGCTCGACTCACTTTCCGCCTCAGGAGTGACTTCGGGGGCTTCGGTCTCGACTATGGTGCTGCTTTCTTCGGTGGCTTCCGGGGTTGGCTCTGATGTGGCCTCGGGCGTAGCCTCGAAGATGGTCTCCTCTTCCACAGCTGCGGCAGCGACAATGCCCTCGGGTAGCTTCTTCTTGGTACCCTCGCTCATGCGAATCTGGTCAATCCAGCTCTCAATAGCCTCGTGACCAAAGTCGGTCCCCTCAAGGTGTCGCCACCAGTTGCGGCGAGCGTTGACTGCAAGGATCTGGACGTCTTCCTTGAGATCGAGAGCCTGGAGGATCTCCTTGGCGTGTGCATCCTCGACGTGAACCTCAAAGAACGGGAATAGATGGCGCTTGCTTTGGGCGTGTTTGAACGCCAGCTCGGCTAGGCTGGATAGGGCCTTCTCAGCTTGCTCGCCGTGACCAGAAGGAACAAAGGCGAGGACACAGGTGTGAGACTTGGGCGACAGGCATTCCTTGACGAGCTTCTCGGGCGTGTTGATGATTGGAATTGGGGGTGCCACGTCAAGAATGATAGGCTTTTGGATGGTTGGATCCTCGGCTTGTTCAGTCCCCTGCGTTTCGGGCTCGCTTGACGGCTCAGCGGACTCGGTAGACGTCGAGGTCTTGGTCTTGGTCTTAGCCGACGAAGGCTGGCTGGATGCCTTCTCCTTCTTCGGCTTCGCGGTTGACGGGTCCGGGTTGGGTGATCCAGCCTGGGACAGGAACTTGACCATAGCCTCCTTCTTTAGCTCTCCATCGTAGACAATGCTGTCCTTGCCCTCGCCAGGGAGCAGGACAAGCGTAGGGTACTTTTCAACACCAAATGTCTCGACAGCCTTTGTTGCCGTATTTCGTACTTGTCCAACAGAAATGACACCCAGAAAGTCTATGGCAATGCTCTTGAGCAACGCGCTGGTGGTGCCCTTCTCCGTGAACAAGATGGCCTTGGGCGCCTCGGGGTTCTCGCTCAGGAACGAGTCGAAGTCCTTGTCCGATAGCCTCTTGACGTGGTTGTTGATCTTGTCGACGACGGCCTCGACGATGCCCGAGGCGGATCGTGGGCCGTTGTAGTCCTCGACAACGGGCTTGGAGCCCTTCTTCAGGCCGGGGCGGACAATCTTGAGGGTCGGGAAGCCCTTGATGCCCATGGTGCCACAAAACGGCTTGTTCGAGTCCTCATCGCAGTTGACGGCGGCGACCTTGGCCAGTCCCTCGAGGTTCTTTGCGGCCTTCTCGTATGCGGGCTTGAGGTTCTGGCAGTGGCCGCACCAGGGCGCATAGAACTCGACGATCTGGAGGGTGTTGATGTTAGCCAGCTGTCGGTGTACAAGGCTTGGGGCTGAGGAGAAGGAGACATACAGTTGTATAGTTGGACTTGGCAATCAACTTGTCATAGTCCTTGCCTTCGAGCTGAAGAACCGGTGAGCTCTTGGGATAGAGACCCGCCTGGGCAGCTGGAAGGGCGGCCAGGAGGGCAGTCAGGACTGCAGGAATAGTGGAGTGATGCATGATGGAGGCGAGCTGTGGGCTTTCACAGCAGATCGCGGGGCAGGGAGATCAACAAAGACGGATGAGGCTGTAACAGGTTTATGAGTGGGAGAAGAACGGCATATCACCACGGGCCGTTGAAGGTTGGGCGCATGTCAGGAGGCTTATTTATTACGTGAAAGGGGACAGATTGAAGAATTGACGAGGCGGCTGCGGCGGTGGTGGTGGTGGGTGGTGATACCAACAAGCACAAGCTGTTCTTTTGGCCAATTCGGCAAAAAGGCCAGCGTGTAAATTACTGCGTGGGCTGGCCTACAGGCGACGGGTGGCAGGGAGGGGAGCTTCTAGAATCTGGGGTAATTCCAGCTAATTACAGCGTGTGATCCGTGCTACTGTATACGGTAGGTACGTAAATATCTAGGCACAGGGACGTGCGTGGAGGTGCGTGCATAAAAGGAAGCTTCAGCCACCATGTGGCGCAAGCTCTTATCGGCACCAGCCATCAATTGAGGGGCACTGGAGTCTGGAGGTCCAAAGTGTGGCGCTTGGCCCATTACCGTTACCGTTACAGAGTGCGCCGATTCCAAAACTCCCAGCAAGTCAACCTTAGAATATCGCACACCATAACGGAGCATTGACGACGACGCGGCCTTCAAGGCAGCACCCCTCACCCTCACAACAACATCAGCGCGCTATATACCATCTCCGCGACCACGTTGACTCCCGAAATTGCATGTCCCTGGGACTTGCATTCGTCATACTCCCGGAGCTCTTTGATCGTGCAGCTGGCCCAGACACCCGAGCCCCAGCCCCAGCCTCATCATCACCAGCGTCAGTACCAACACCGGCACCAGCCATGGCCGACGAGGTTCCCGCTGCCCTCAAGGCGGCCGACGTCAGTCTCTACAAGACGGCGACTCGAGGCGCCCAGCTGCAATCAGTGAAGCCCATCATTTCATACTGGTGTATGTCTCGCCATCTTCGCTGCATCATTGTTACCTTTGCTAAACAGTTCCAGGCGAATACTGGGTGGTCAACCAGATCCTCGCCAAGCAGCTACACAATACCGACTCGGACATCCTGGACTACACCATGAAGCTGATGGACAAGCTGGAGGAGGTATGATCACCTGAGATGCGACTGATCACCGTACAGACTGACCATGTCATCGGAACAGACCAAAGCCGAACACGCCAACGACGATGCGATCATGGACGACACCGCGGGCCAGGCATATGTCGAGCAGTTTGCGCAGGAAACGCTGGACCGGGCAGAGCGTGTCATCAAGGCTGGCAAGGTCACAGGCAACACGGCCAATACATTCGATGCCGCATTGACCTTCTTCAATCTTGTCAACATCTGGGGGCCGCCCGATGGCGAAACCCAACAGAAGATCAAATACGCCAAGTGGAATGCGGCGCGAATCATCAAGGCGATCAAAGAGGGCAAGGACCCCAACGAGTCAAACCCCAAGAAGGAGGACCTGCCATTAGAAGCTCCAGCCCTCGACCCCAATGACCCTGAAGTCCAATCACTGGCCACTTCGTCCAGCCAGGGGCCAAGACCTGCAACAGTTGAAGACGCCCCGGACACAGACGTACCAGCCGCAGATGTTCCGCGAGATGATGCAGGCGTATCGCTACCCCACAGCCCTGCCTCAGCTATCAATCTGCCGTCTGCGCCAGATGATGGTGAGCTGAAATTACCCAGTGCGCCGGGATACGAGGATGGCGCTGCTCATCCAGGTTACTTTGATCCGCCTCCAAGCATCCCATCACCAGTTTCACCGCCGTCGCATAATCCCGTCACATATCACCCCGCAGAACCACCGTCTGCCCCGAGAGATTGGGCACCCACGCCTCCCGCTGCTTCAGATTCTGGGTTTCCTGCGCCGTCAGCCCCGTCTGTACCAAGCATCCACCAGTCCATGTCTCCCCCAGCTCCTGGACCGCCTACTTTTGCGAGTCCGCGACAGACACCCGCCGTGGCTCCTGCGCCGATATCGCCTCCTCCTGCTAATTACATGAATATAGCCCCTACTGCGAATGTATCCAGGCCGGTCGTACCGCCGCCGAGCACTGCCCCATCAACATTCGCAGCGCCGGGAGGCTTCAGCCAAGTCCCACAGCAGGTCCAGGGCAACTTCGTGGCAGACGACATGGCCATGTCTCAAGCGCAGAAGCACGCCAAATGGGCAATCTCAGCTTTGAACTTTGAAGATGTGCCTACGGCAGTAAGGGAATTGAGGAGAGCATTGGAGGCTCTAGGTGCGACTTAGGCTTCGCTTCTGGTCGCCAAGGTTTTGGACGGAGCTGAAGGCTCTTTATTGTTAAATTTAAGTGCCTGAACCCTGTTTTGACATAACAGCATGTGCGGGAGTTGTGTTAGCTTGTAGAGATATGATATCCAACGTATATAGAACATTTGGGCGGCAAGCCGCTTTGACAAGCAAGATGACCTGCCAGCGTATCAGTATTTTACCCCTTTAAGCCACTTGTCAGCAATGTCATGCCTGAACCAAATCCTTCAGTATTTGTTCACAGCCCTGCGCAGAGCTGCCCAAGTCGCCAATATTTAGTCATTACTTCACCTACCCATGCCTCAAACCAACAAAGTGCGCAAAGAAACGATCATATCGCTTTCCCATGGACTCGGAGAGACTCTGGCTGGGCTGAATGTAAGGGCCAGGCTGCTGCGCTAGCTTTCCCGGGCTCGTGGAACGTTGTCAGCGTCGCAATGCATGTCTGCTGCTCCAAAATGGGGGCGGGCGTTGACATCCCCAGCTACAGTAAATCCAATATTCGGTGCCACCTGCAACGCTTACCCCAGATTCACGTGCAACTTGAGATTTAATCTTAGAATGAACGAGCAGCAAGACTACTTGGTTGAGATGAAGTAGACTTGGCATTCAAGAATAGGATACAAAAGCGTCAGGCCTTGTAAATCCCATTCTGTTCAGGTAATACGTGAGAGTAATGTAGTGCTTGATGAGGTTCGTCTGTCTACGGTATCTCCGATTTCTTGACGATGGCTTTTCAATCCGGAACCTATGAGAAGATAGTGTCGAACGTGGTGAGCTGAAAAAAGGGCCTTGATATATATAATGTGTCCACTGCTATCGTCATTACTCTGCAGCTAGAATGCCGCTGAATCAATCAGCAGAGACAGCTTCTTCTTTTTGCCTTGACTTGACACCAAAATGCTCTTGATTTTTATTCTCTACTTGGCCGGCGCTTCAGCTGCTGCAGCCGCTGTCTGCAATACTGACAATGGCGTGAGAGCCGTCACCGGGATACGTATCGGTAACATTGTGCTAGCCCTTACGGCACGCCAAGGAGATTGTGCTAGCTTTATACTAGCTAAGATGACGCGAGCTACTTCGTAGGTCTCCAATAATATACGTAGGCTTTTCATTTTTAGGACTTCACAAAGGACTGTAGCACTGTCAACGTACAATCTGGAGGCACTGCGCGCAGGCGCCGCAACGCAGGATTACCTCCTCGACAAGCCACGATCACACCGAGCGCCATCCCGGCATATGCCAGCCCCTGTTCCGGAGCCGCGGCCTACAGCCCCGCGTACTCGTGCTGGGGGATCATGGCGCGCACCACGACGGCGCCGACTCCAGTCACTACGACTACGACGACGGTGACGGCTACTTCGACAGTCAATGCGTGAACGCCGTGGTTTGATCCGTGTGAGTTGAGAAACCCGGCGGCGTGCTGCAGCCAGACTTGCCGTGGTAACCTGGTGACGGACGTATTCCGCTGCGGCCAGAGTCGTGGCTTCTGCGGAATTGATGGGTCGAAAAGGGACTCAATTCTTGAGCAGAGCGATTTAAGAATGAGCGTTGTTCCATTGGAGGGCGCAGAAGATGCATGAGGTTTGCCTCTAAGGTGTGTATGCAGATGGATGGTCATACACTCGGTTATATACAAGCATCGAATTCATTCGACATTTCATGGCCGCCATGTCTGTTTTTCCCTTAAATGTTCACATGTCTTTCTGAGGGGCTCGAAGATCATCATTTTTGAAAATCCGCGGTAATTCCGTGTTGGGGGAATTTGAATCAGAATTGTGCTGTGCCTCACTAAGGATGACTCTATTTGCTCAACAACATGCATGTTTCTCTCGGGGCTCGGTCTTCCGATGCTAGGCTCGGGTACTGTGAAATATCCCTGCAGTACTCGACGAACTCACAATTGGGACTTTGGACGTTGAGGCGCTGCGAGGAATACCATATCTCGCTGTCGAAGTCAGCTTAGATCACGGAGCGCGTCGATGACACTGGCCAAGTGTGAAGAAGTGATGTTGGGCCACCCCCTCGTTTTTCCCAAGCTCGGACAACGGAGTAAGATCTCACTCAGCCCTACGGCTATAGGCCTTACAAAAAGCTTACTAGCACTAGCATAGTTCCTTCGAAGTTGGCTCACGATGTAATTGGAGAGGTATCGTCGGTTCAATGTGAGTCAAACTAAGTATTATCGTAGGCGACTTGCTACCTAATACATGTAATCCAAACAAAATAAAACATGTCTGACATCAAGGATGAGGTAATGTCGCAATTTATACCCAGACGCGTCGCAGTCAATTTAGCTCCAATCCAAACGCCGTGCCCAAGCCCATAATCCTTTTCCGAAGCCAATTGCGAGACCCATCAGGATTCCTTTTCGTTGTGTGTCTCCGCCCCCTCTATTGATTACTCTACTTCAGGGATGCATACACGGCCATAGACTCCCAGCTAGGCATCCGAGGCTCCCGCAAAGGCGCCTGCGAATGTGTCTTGGGCGCTTTGTGACTCGAGGTATGTTCCGGGGCATCCTTTGACTGGCCCTTCTTCATGAGCTGCTTCAGGAAGTTTGATGACTTTGTTGCAGATGGCTCTGAAAATGTCTCGTTAGCTACTACACAAGCTGAGAATTGAATTGTCTCTGTGATGACATACTCTCTGAGGAGTCAAGCTTCTTGAGAACGCCATCGTCGTCCCCGACCAATGTGGTCATTGATGCCATCGCGTCCTTGTTGGCTACAGGCTTGTGTGACTTTCGAGGCTTGGGCCCGTTGCCAATGTCCGATGGGAGCATATAGCCCTCGTAATATTCTCCGTGCATGGTGAGCTGTTTGTTGAGTGGTTGACGTGTGTGGTTGGCGGAGGCTGAACTTTGTTTGAGAAAGGCGCACTTAGATGAGGATGGGCCGAAGACAATTTCTCAGGTGTATGAGATAAAGTGTAAGATGCAATTGTTTGATGAGCTGGAACTACAATTCAACATGGAAATACGCTTCCTTTAATAGTACGAAGGATTGGAATTGCGTTTGAGGGATTACGATAGCCTTCCCCCATGACTACTGAGCTCGGTGCGGACTCTGCGTCGGCGACTGAGTCACCTCGGCTTTGAATCCACAGACCAGGCTGTGCGTGATGCTTCATTATTTTGGCGCCTGCATGAAGGGCGCGTGGCTTACATGGGTAGTGTGCCTGCCGGCGTGCTTAGGCGTAAAGGCGGAGCAGCAAAGTGCGCAAAGTCTTCGTAAGACGGGGCATCCTTTCTGACCATTGCTTGTTAGTAGCCGCGTCTATGACTCCCGTTTGGCTTCCCCGGTGTCGCTTGTCTTGTCTCGGCTCCCCGACGGTACGTGCACCTTTAAGCCGGTCTCCGGCTCCGCTTACTCTTACTGCGACGGGCATGGCGCCTATGCCGTGATGTTGATGCCTCAACATGTTAGTCATCCAAGGGCGCGGTGTCTTGGAATGCAGCGAATCGGAGTTGCTCGTTGAGGCAGAGAGTCCACACCGAGCACCGAAGCCGAGAATCCTGCTTTGTCAACTTACGGAGAACAACACCACTCGACGACATCCAGCCAGTCCTTTGGCCATGCTTACATGAAAAGCATTCAGAATAGCGCGCGCAAATCACACGAAGACTAGGATTGCTAAGTTAAAATGATCTGATTTGCATGGAGCTTCATTTGAGCCTCCAGGTATAGCCGCCGTGACGCCATTCACGAAATTTGTTAGCCATGTCGATTGCCGCTGCTCGTCTCGGCTTTCAATCAACCTCACAAATACCCACGCCGCAATTGAGATTCAATGGAACCTCCGCGGCGTCGTAATGGACGACCGCAAGCCTGTGAGCCTTGTCGCAAACGCAAGGTCGCCTGTGACCACACATTGCCAGTGTGCCGTAGATGCATGAAGAGAAATACACCACAGGCATGTGAGTATCTTACATCGCCAGAAAATGGCAGATTGCCAGAGCGGCTCTCGGACACTACAAGGTTAGGGCATCTCCGCCCCCCACACAAGACACATGTATGACGACTTGCTTCTTTCGGCATGCTGGCCACTTCATAATTTCATGCCTGATAGAGCTGCTGGAGTTGTTATCGTTCTGTTTCTGTTATCAAGCATACATATGTAGACTAACGCCCTGGCCCAGATCACCCAGCCGGCCCTCGGCTTCATCATCCAATGTGGTCACTCCCCAGACGGCTTCGGGGTCAGCCACAACTCTACAAGGTTACGAGACTGAACATCATCGATCACAAGCCGAGTCGAATTCTGGGTATCTAGGGCCTACGAGCTTCTCGGCAGTATATCAAGAAACCCAAAACAGTCTTTCTTTGTTTCATAGCCCAATAACAGATGGATCGCCATCCGAATTCGTCACCAATGGCCATCGCATGACGCGTCTGACAGCACAGAAACTCGAAAAATGCGTGTACGTGCTGAAGCGGGTGCCGCCGGGAGAAGATGGTCAGTTCTTATTTGGTCAGCACACCAACCCGAATGATGGCTGGATCAGACTGGCAGCCCGACATCTCATCGCGTCAATATACCAGGCGTACGGCCGCCAACTTGGCAAAGAGCGGAGCCGGTCCAAGCTCGATGAGCTTGCCCAGGTTATATGTGTTAATACTGCTAAAACCCTGAACGAGAATGAACCAGATGCGCAGGCATGGCTCGGATCGTTCAGCGGGCAAAATCTAAGGTGGGATGCTCTAGGCATCTGTTTCACATACTGGGCTTTCGCTTGCATTTCAAATAAGGCTCACCGCCCCGAGCCGTTCTGGCCTGATGTCTTGAAAGAACAAATGATGGCATATAAGGAGTGTGTTGAGCTCTGTATCGAGTTATGCAAAGATGCTGTTCCGAACAGCTTACTGTTGTATCTCGTTTACAAGAATTGTATACTACAGTCGATTGTTACAGGTGATGCTAGTATGAACCATTCTTAGTATCTATGCTGTTCTTGAGATTGGCCTCTAACATTTCGCTAGGTCCTGGCTTATGGAGATGTCATGGAGAATGCATAGCTCTGCTGACATATCTCGGACTGCATACTGAGACTAGTGAGGCACCATATGAACCAACGGCGTCTTCCGAAGCTAGGAGAAGGCTCGTATCACAGATATTCAACATCGACAAGGTCGTCGCATCATTTGTTGGACGACCACCACTCTTAAGCCGCCGATATCTCTTAACACCATTGCCACTTGACCTGAATGACGAAGATCTAATGGGGGACAAGGACAAGCTCTCTAGAGCTATAGCTAATCTCGACAGTAACGGGTGGGGGCAAGAAGGGAAGCTGTACTCGACGACAATATTGCGAGCACGGTGTCTCCTATGTCGAAACAAAGACGAGATCGTGGAGATTGCTCTTGGCCACCCTTCCTTCATTACTGTAGATAAACTAATGTAAGTTTTGACGTGTTGATGGATTACATATCTGGACCGCGCAGCTGATTACCCAAAAGACAACTCAAAGCTCATACAGACGAGACCAAGGCCGCGCTACCATCGCTCTTCCTGTTCAGCTTTTTCGACGTCAGGGATCCGAATGTTGAGCCAGGTTTGCTCTACGCAAAGATCCTTACTAGCCTCGAGCATCTGCAAAACAAGTTCTTCATTGAGCGACTGCTTGCGCAACAAGGCTATGATAGCTATGCAGACCTTCTTAGTCTCAGTTACGAGATGGTGTCTATTACTCTTGTGTTCTGGACCCATATGGATCGACTAACTGGGATGCACGGCGATTACGAATGGCTAGTGAGTGGTCCGACCCGTTTGTTTCAGAGTCTATTGACTTATACTTGTTCTAGGTCATGGCTTTCGCTGCACCTGCGGGAGGTATTCTGTGTAACGAACTAGTCATCCCTCGTCAAACAAGCAATGAGACAATCAGCCGTTCAGATATTATTCAGCAGTTGAGTCTGTTAGTCGGCTTTCTAGACTGGGTTAGCCCATCGGCTCCTAATGGCGACTTGTGTGGCTCTTGCAAGACGATCATACAGCGTGTCCTGGACCAGACTTTAAATGGCTCTGCGCGAGATTCTGCTCCAATAGCCGAGTCTTTCGATTTCGATCTGACTTCTAACTTCAACGATTATTTCAACTTTGATCTACTCGATACATTCGATTGGCTGCGCCCGGAATTCTCGTCGAGCCAGCAGTCAGGGTAGGCTAATATATGCAAGCGTGCAAGCATTTATTAAATGGTAGCAAGCCTGATTTAAGAAGATCATCAGAATAAGCAGAAATCTTGGATTTGAATCAGCCAGCATTAGACACTTGATGTAGTACCTTGTGGGGCTGTACCTCGATGTTTTAGTGACAAAGTGGGGTTCCACGGAAAGTGCTGGGAAGGAACTTGTCCACGGACAGAGCTAAAACACTTATTCGTCCACGGAAAGAACTGAAAAGCTTCAGAAGTAAATAACTGTTCATAATCATCTGCGACACAATTTAGACTTGGCATGGTAACCGTGGTCTTGAATGAGAGAAAAGCACAACCTAGTACTGCACTAGACTTTCCTCTTTGCTCATCCGGATAACTGTTTGATTTCTTTTTCTCTTTCTATATCCACATCTAGTTTACAATAGCACAATGGAACCTTTACCAATCAAGTCAACGAAACACGATGTCTACGATTTTATCTCACCCACCACGGGCACCAAGGATGCGGCTTTGGGGAAGGCCGTTCTGATTACGGGAGCTGGATCAGGCATTGGAGAAGTACGTACTCAGAATCCAATACCTCATCTGATCAGTATCTCCTCCAGTTTTCTTTGACTGAGTAACATGTTCTAGCATACCGCCATCTACTTTGCTCGTGCAGGTGCCGCTTCCGTCGTCCTTGTTGGCAGGGATGCTAAGGCCCTCGAGGAGTCCAAAGTTATGATACTAACCGAATATCCTAATTGCCATGTGCTTTGTGTTCCAACTGACATCACCGATGCCGAATCTGTCGCAAACCTCTTCCAAAAGACTGGGAAAATGGATATCCTTGTCAACAACGCTGGATCGACGGGAACTATCGGTCCCCTAGCAACAACTAACTTTCGGAATTGGTGGATGGCTTTCGTATGTTGTTTCCTCAATATTTGATTTGAGCCCAAGGGGCAGAAGATTGATTTTATAGGAAACCAACATTCAAGGCACGTACTTGGTTACTTGCGAATTTCTCAGATTACTCGACGGCGGTCCTGGTATCGTTCTGAACGTGTCCTCGCGCTCCTCTTATGTCACTGCCCCGGGGATGAGCGCATATCAGGTCTCGAAATCGGCTCTCAACAGGTCAGCGTTCTGAACCCGTCTGCGAACCATTGTAAACTAAAAAAAAACCTATCTGCTAGATTCACTGAGTTCATTGACAAAGGTATTTGTTCGACCACGCTTCCGATATTCTACTTCACTCTCCCCGATTGAATCCTCATGTCTTGCACCGTCTGACAGCAATACAGATTATGCTTCCCAAGGCGTCGTCGCGATTGCTTACCATCCCGGCGGTGTCGCAGGCACCAGAGTCGCTGATAGTGCACCCGAGTGGCTTCGGAAAACTTTCAAAGATACTCGTGAGTTCCACTCGTATTTAAAAAAAAAAGCACGTAGGAGAAGAAAAGAATGCTAATGTGGTTGCCATCCAGCTGCGCTCCCTGCCGCCACAGCCCTTTACCTGTGCCTTCCCCGAGCCAAATACCTCAGTGGACGCTTTATCAACGCGCAGTGGGACATGGAAGAGCTCGAAACACACCGCGAGCGAATCATCTCCGAGGATCTGCTGAAGATGCGTGTGTTGGGCGTTGATGACCACTTGTGAAAGCAATTGTCGTGAGCAGCTTGCATCGCGAATATTGTTGAACCTAAAACTGTCAATCTTTGTCATATAAGAGAACAGGGTCAGATCTGGCGTCTCAGATATCGTTTGTAAGGCGTAGGGGAGAAGCCTAGGCATAGACTCAAGCAAATATGGAGAGAGTCATTTTCATTTCACTCTCGAAGCCAGCTCTTCTTTGACCTGCATTTTTGATGTGATTTAACATTTCAAATGCTGTTGCACGATCTTATCATTGACACGTCGGCTTTAAGGTTGAGAACGCGGCGACCAAGTTGTGTTGGAGTGGCGCCCCCTCATTCGGCTTTGAATCAACATGGTAGATAATTCCGATGATCTTATCGCCTGGAATGTGAACAAGTGTGCATTACTAATCAGGAGTAAGCCAGAACCAACCCTTCAGAGACCCTCCGCACGTCAAGCTTATTGGAAGATAAAGTTGTAGGTGTAGCACTAAGAGCTCCTCAGCCCGTCGCAGATAGTGCCCGCTATTATGACGCAGGACATCTGAGACGGCTAGACGACTAAGGCAACGAACCTTCTTCTACTGCTTTGGGCAAGAAGTGGACTGCCGGGCGCCACTTTCTTGGTGATGTCATTACATGATTTGATACCTTGTCGAGAAATGTCGGCTTCTGTATGCTCCCCGAGGAGTTCAGGAACGGGTGAAACCCCTACTCTTGCCAGATTGGCCCACATGGCGGGAATTAACGCCGAAGAATATGTCTGATGTGTAAAGTTTGTCTTGGTGGAGTCCTAAGTCCGGAAAGCGCCCCGAGACACACGAAAAGGCGGAGAATCGCCCCGTACACTGTAATAAATATAGATAAGAGCTATCTCGCTTCCTTGACGTCAATCCTGATGAACTTCTTCCCGACACGTCTAAACCCATCTTGTTTCGAATTGGTCACATATCTAGCCTACCAATTCAGCAACTATCCATCTCTCAACACCAAGAACTGTCTCAAATATGGCTCCATCACTGCCCAAGACATATAAAGCTGTCGTAATTGACGGGAAAGGTGCTGCACTTACCCTCAGGGACATCGAGCTGAAGCAACCGGGTCAGGGGCAGGTTCTCGTCAAGGTCATTGCCTGTGGTGTCTGCCACAGCGATTCATTCCTCCAGCAAGGGTTCCTGCCGAACACATGGCCACGCATCCCCGGCCACGAATTGGTCGGAGATGTGGTAGCTGTCGGCAATGGAGTGACTCGATTCAAAGGGGGCGAAAGAGTTGGTGGTCCATGGCATGGAGGTGAGTTACCAGCCTTAGATCTAGCGTATGGCTGTCCACTGACATTGTGCTGCAGGTCATGACAAGACATGCCGATCTTGCCAGCGTGGATTGTATCAATGTTGTGACAATGAAGCTATCAACGGCGTGACTCAAGACGGCGGGTACGCTGAATATGTTCTACTGCGCGAGGAGGCAGTGGTCCGCGTACCCGAATCTGCCGACCCGGCCGAGGTTGCCCCATTGTTGTGCGCTGGCGTAACAGTCTTCAATGGTATGCGCAAGTTGCAGATCGAGCAGGGAAATCTCGTCGCGGTGCAGGGAGTTGGTGGTCTAGGCCATCTAGCGGTGCAATTCGCAAATAAGATGGGTTACAAGGTTGCTGTCCTGTCCAGCGGTGACAGCAAGCGAGACTTCGCCAAGGAGCTGGGTGCGCACGTCTACATTGACACCAGCAAGGAGGATCCCGCCAAGGCGTTGATGGATCTTGGAGGCGCACAGATGATCTGCAGCACCGCGCCGAATCCTAAGGCAATGAGCCCTCTGGTTGGCGGTCTCGCACCAGGTGGCAAACTCCTGGTCCTGGCTCCTATGGGTCCCGTGCCCTTCGATACAGCTGTCATGGTCAACAAGGGAGCGAGCGTTCACGGTTGGCCCAGCGGCCACGCTCTTGACTCTGAGGAGGCTATTGCATTTGCAGATATCCATGGTGTCAAGTGTTTCGTTGAGAAGTTCCCCCTCAAAGACTTTCAAAAGGCTTTTGATAGCATGACTAGTGGAAGCGTTAGGTTTAGAGCTGTTTTGACTATGTAAGGGCCTTGTCAATTAAAAGTACATTATTAAAATGGGATGCAACAAATAGATGCATCAAGAGATCATAAATAGTAACCGAAAGACAATACTCCTCGTAGGTCGAATAGTGACGAATCAACATGTCATCTTCGATTTAGCTCCCACTAGAGTCTGCGACGAAAATGCATCGCTCCAAATTCCACTTCCGTCTTTGGACCTGAGCTGCCTGCTGCTTTAACCTGAGCCAAGATGAGCCGAGGCTGAGCCGAGACTGAGCCGATAGAGCAGCCTGAGCATCCTGCCGTTTATGGAGGCTGATGCCTAGGATATCCATAGACTAAGCAGGCATAACCCCTGCCAAAATGTGTAGCGTATAGGGCTCCTTTTGTGGATAGGCTAGGGTGTAAGACTTTGAGAATTCTTGATTGTACCCTGCTCGAGTGGTAATTGTGGCTATCTAATCCCTATTGCTGTCTTCTTAAGATAACTGTCGTATCATCTCGCTATTATGAACGTTAGATAAAGCTCTTCCTTCTTAGATACCGTTATGCTTAGGCCTTAAGCCTGCCGATTTTGGATCTACTATCTTAAAATACTTAAATTATATTAGTAGTAACGTAAGTTATAGGTTTTATAGTTACTTGACTTTATAGGTATATTCTAGCTTTAAGTTAGACAACTTATAATTAGTAACTCTTTTGTCAAAGTAGTCAGACTTATGACTCTAATATCTTATGATGGTAAGTATATAAAATAAGTTGTTAAAAGAAATATAAAGGCTTTCAATAGGTATATTATATACTTAAAGGCTATTATCCTAATATTAGAGACAATTTATTCTATTACTTTACTAGTTTTTATTATAGTAAGTATTTTTTCTTATTCTTTTTATTTTAAACTTTAGAAATCTAGTGATATATTTCGAACTATTGATATCTATAAGATTATACTATCTTTATAAACTATAATACTTTTATATTATATTTACTTTAAGTCTTCTATATATATTATAAGTATCTTAAAATAATAAAATTATAAAGTTTTATATTAAGTATTTAACTAAAAGCTTTAGACACTATTATAAGACTTTAACTTTCTAGTTTACTACTAATATTATAACTAGATAGCTTATAGTATAAATATTCGTTATTTAAAACTAATAGTATAAAGGAAAGCTTATATAAAGAAAATGTCATAGGTTGCAAACCCTATTATAACGATCCTTCCTATCAATACGTTGATAGATAACTAAAGGTCCTTAGGTTTATATCCTAAGATAGGTCGAAAAGTACTTAAGCAATATTCACAAAGGTAGATGATTATAACTAGTTAGATTCTATTGATTATAGAATCAAACTATAATATTAAAAGCTAAAAAGCTAGTCTCTTTATCTTTAGGCTTATAGTTATAAGTATAATCTTATATAAAACTATAGTATATTATAGTTTACTACTGTTTATAATAGCTTACTAATCTATAAGCAACTTTTAATAAGCTAATTTTATTTTATCTATATATAACTTAGTTTTAATAAAATATCTATTATAAGATTTTTAATAATAGTTTAATTTTTAGCTATAATATAATATTCTTTCTTTAAAGTTAATATTTTAAAGACTTAATTAAATATTAGAATATTGTCTATTTAATAAGTTTTAAAACTGTCTTTTTTATTTTATTAAAATATTAATAATATATTAAATTATATAAAAAAATCTTAATTAAAATCTATCTTAAATTATTTAAAACTTATATTATTAATTAATAAGTTTAGCTTTAATATTATATTATATTTATATTATAAAAAGAAAAGTCTAAAATATAAGATAATAAATAGAAAGTTAAAGAAATATAATAATTATATTAAATTTAATTAAGTTTATAATAAGTTGATAATATCTTTTAGTTTTAATTTATTAGGTTTTATTATATAGCTTTTGTTTATTAGCTAACTAATTATAATAAACTAAATTATCTTAAAAAAATATTATATTAAATATAAAAAGTATTTAATAGAAAAAGACTTTCTTTAAATATATAAAGAATTTAAAGCTTTTATAAATAACTTTTAATATTAGTTTTATATTAATATAGCTTATCTAATATACTTATATTGTTAGAAAGTAAAGATAGTAGATAAAGAATATAAAATAATTAAAAAAAGTTTAAAAAGTATTAATAAACTAAAAGAATAAAAGTAAATAATCAATTATACTTTTTCTTTTATATTATAGCCAGAAAACAGGCCGCCGCCAGGAACCTTACAATAGACATAAAAGATAGAAAGGATATTATATAAAGATAAGATAAAGACCACTTATAAGCTAGAGATTATAGATTATAGTAAGCTATAATAAGCTACCATCTATAGATTATAAGAGATTTTAATGATCTTATATAATATAATTTTATATAAGACTATATTTATAACTATAAGCTTAAAAATAAAGAGACTAACTCTTTAGCTTTTAATACTATAGTTTGATTCTATAATTAATAGAATTTAATAAATTATAATTACTTATTTTTATAAATATTATTTAAATATCTTTCAACCTATCTTAAAATATAAACTTAAAAACCTTTAGTTATCTATTAACATACTAATAAAAAGAATCATTATATATTAAAAGCTTTTATTTAATAGGTTGATAATATACTTTTAAATAATATCTCTATAGTCATAATAGTATCTACTACTACCCTATCAATACTAAGCTTATCTAATAGTAATCCTCTTTAACTAACATTAACAACTAAAGGACTAATAGTCATAATATAAGATATAGTCAATAAAATTATATAACTTAAAACAATTCTTAAGTTAAAAAAAATGAAAGTAGTAAAGATAAAGAAACTTAACTTTTATAATAAAGAAAAAAGAACTTTTTAAAGATTCTTAACTTAAGTTAAAGCTTACTTATATATAGATATAGTAGAAGTTATATAAAAGTATAATAAGATACTTTTAATAATTAACTTATTTATAGAAAATATACTTAACTAGTTTAAACTAACTTTTAGAAACTATCTTAAAAATAAAAACTTAAAAAAATAAAATAAAGAAACTAAAGAAATCTTCAAAAGTTATAAAAAGTTTGAAGAAGCTATTAAGATAGTATTTAAAAACTTTAATAAAAAAAGAATTATTAAATGAAAACTATCAACTATTAAATAAAAAGAATCTACTTTAGAATATTTATTTAAATTCTAATAAATTTTATCTAAATTATTATAATCTAACGATTTTCTTATAATAATATTCTATATAAAATTAAAGGATAATATAAAAAATAAATTATCTAAATATAAAAAACTAAATGATTTTATAGATTTTATAGTAATAGCTATAAGAATTGACAACCAACTATATAAAAGATATTTTAAGAAAAAGTCTTATAAAAACTAAATATTTAAGCTAATATATTAAGCTAATAATAAAAAGTAAGTATAATATAATAATAAACTATAAAGTATAGCTTATAGATATTATTTAAGACTTATAAAAATTAATATATTTTAAAAAAGATAATAAAAGAGAATTTAAAATAAGAAGGATATATAATATTATAATTATAATAAGAAAGGATATTATATTTAAGAGTATAAAGAATCTAAAAAGCTTATAGAATCTAAATAATAAGTAAATATAATATTATATAATATTTTTAGCTAGATATATTATTATAATGATAAGTATGAAAAATATAAGTTAGATAAAGAAAGTATTAGATAGTATCTTAAACTATTAAGCTAATAGAAAACTATCATTATACTATCTTAATATAACTATAAGAAGGTATAATAGATCTATAGTATAAACGTAGCTAAAGATAGTGAATCAAAAGCTTAATTATAAAACAAAACTTTTAATATAAAGAATAATATACCAATATTTATAAAAGAAATATTGTTTAAAGAAATTATATCTTTACTAGAATCTATAAATAAAGAAGTATTATTATTAGCTTATAAGTTAGAAACTAATGATAGATATATATTATATTTAATATTATATAAACTTAATAATAAAGTTATATTAGTAAGAATCATAATATATTAGATATACTAAGAATAGGCTAATTAACTAAGAATTTTGACAATATTTAAAGAAGATTTTCTATTAGATTATTAGAATTTAGACTATTATATCTTATTATAGATAATATATATTTATAATTAATATATATTATATATAGTAAAGAAAATAAAAAATAACTTCTTTTCAAGAAGATATACTAATAAACTAATTATATAAGCATTAAGAAAAGTAGAGATAGAATATTAGTATATCTTAAAACAAACTATTGAGGCTAGACTAACTATCTTTAAACTAAGTGAAGAATATCTAACAAAATATAAAACAAAGTATTAAAAAAACTATCAAACACTTAAGTATAAATAGTATATAATCTTTAAAGCTAAAGAATAATATAATTAATAGCATCTATAATCAATATAAACTAAGAATATTATATTATATCTATATATATATAAGAAGCTGACAAAACTCGTTATAATTTACTTTAATTATATAATAATTAAACATTTTTAACTTAAATAAAGAAAAGCCATTATATACTAAATAAATAAAGAATTAAATACTATATAATATAATCAAAGAATAGATATACTAATATATAAAAACAATAAAACTTAAAGAAATCAATTAAAAATTAGAAAGTTTATAATAAATTATATTTAAATAGTATATTTAGAAAATCAGCTAGAAAGTAGCTAACTAAATATTTAAAGAATTATAAGAATTTATAAGCTATATTAAAATCTATTATTATATCAAATGAAAAATTTAGAAAGACTTTAGCTTAATTTAAAATCAAAAGTAAAGTTAAAAAAAGTAAGATAAATATTTAGACAAACAAATCATCAATATTATAAAAATAATATAAGATAAAAATAATAAAGAAAGACTATCTTTACTATCAATATAAACATTTAAATAATTAAAAAATTAAATCTTAGATATAATTAGTAAAGAAATTAGAATAATGAATATTCTTAAAACTTATAAACATTATCAAGATTAATAATAAAGAAGTTTATTAACTTTTTAGATTATTAAAAAATATAAGAAAGATTTAGAAAAAGAATTATTTTAATTATAAAGAAATTATAAAAGAAAAATAGTAAAATTAAGTTTTTATAAAGTTTAAAAGTATAAAAAGACTATTTATATATTAAAATAAATCTTAAAGAATATAATATTATTATAATTATAGATTATAAAATATAAGAAAATTATCTATTATTAATATTTATTAATAAATATTATCTAAAATAAAGATATAAAAAAGACTTTTATAATCTTATAATAACTGATAAAGAAAAAGTTATCTATAATAAAAAAATAGTTAATAAGAAAATAAACAAATTATAAATAAAAATATAAGGAAAATAAAAAAGAATCTAATTTAATATAATAAATCTTATTAGATATCTAGTATTATTAGGATTATTATAGTTTAAAAAGAGTAATTTTTAAATCAACTAAATTAATAGCTATCTATATTAGAAGAGTAATATACTCTTATAAGATTTATCAATACTTAAGGAAGAATAATAACTATAAATTATTAGATAGAAATTCTGATAAGACTTAACTTATAAAAAAGATATAATAATTTTAATACTTTTAAGTAAGCTTAAAGAAGCTATTAATAAATCGAATATTGATATTAAATTATAAGAGTAAATGATAATGCTTATAATCAATAAAAAGGAAGGATAATTATAAAATATTTTATAAAAATATTAAATATATACTAAGTTATTTATAGAAGAATTAAAGATAGATCTACTATAATATAATAAATAAAACTATAAAATACTACTTAAAAAAGAAATATAATTAAAATTCTACAAAATATATAAACTTAATAAAATTAAATTAAAAGTATTTTAAAAATATTTAGATAAAAACCTTAGAAAAAGCTATATTAAATTATCTATATTATTAGCTAAATATTTAATCTTATTTATATTAAAAAAAGAAGATAAACTATACTTATATATAGACTATAAACAACTTAACAATATTATAATAAAAAACTACTATCTACTATCTTTAATATTAAAACTATAGAATAGATTATATAATATCATTATATTTATAATATTAAACCTTTTAAAAGTATATAACTTAATTAGAATCAAAGAAGAAGATAAATAAAAAACAGTATTTTATATATAATATAAGTATTATAAATACTTAGTTATATCTTTTAGATTGACTAATATATTAGCTAGTTTTTAAGCTATAATTAATTATATTTTATAAGAATTTTTGAATATTTTTATTATTATTTACTTAAATAATATCTTAATATACTTAAAGATACTTAAATAGTATCAAATATATATATACTAAATATTATTAAAACTATAAAAAGCCAACCTATTAGTAAACCTTAAAAAAAATATATTTTATACTATAAAAATCAATTTCCTTAATTATATAATAAAATTAAGATAAATCAATATATAAAAAAGTAAAATTCAAGCTATCTAAAAATAGCTAAAATCAACTATAATTAAAAAGGTTAAAGGATTTTTAAGATTTTTTAATTTTTATTAAAAGTTTATTAAAAACTATAGCAAAATTATTATATTATTTATAAACCTTATTAAGAAAGATAAAGCCTTTATATAAAATAATAAAGTATAAATTATATTTAATATCTTAAAATAATAAATATTATTTAAACTAATTTTATAAAATCTTAACTTTATAAGATAATATAAAATAAAGATAGATACTTTAAACTTTATATTTAAAAGATAATTAAAATAAAAAGATAATAAATATCAACTATACTTTATAATATTCTTTTTAAAAAAATTATATAGTCTAAAGCTAAATTACCAAATTTATAATAAAAAGTTAATAATTATAGTTAAAGTATTTAGAAAATAAAGATAATATTTATTTAAAACTTTTTATAAAGTACTTATTTATACTAACTATAAAAATTTTATCTATTTTATAATTATAAAATAACTTAATAAAAGATAAATAAAATAGATAGAAAAACTATTAAAATTTAACTTTTAGATTATCTATTAAAAAAAATTAGAAAATAGTAGAGTAGATACTTTAAGCTAACAAATAAACTATTATTAAAAAATATCAAAAAAAATATAAACTATCTTAATAATAAATCTAGATAAAATTTTAATATAAATAGAAAAATAAATTAATATACTTTTAAAGATAGAATTAAATAATATTTAGCAAAAGAAACTTAAAAAAGTATATAAATTATTAAGATATAAATATAATATATAAATTCCTTTAAGATTAGTATAAACTAATAATATAAAATAAAAATAATATAAATATAAAAAGAAAATATATATATTATTAAAACTATAGAAAGAACTTATTAAAATATATTATAAGCTAATAAAATTTAAATATATAAAAATAATAAAAACTTTTAAATAAATATAAAAAAAGTATAACTTTTTTTATATAAAAAATAAAATTAAAAAAGTATTAAATAAATATAGTATCTATAAACAAAACAAAAATAGTAGATATAAACTTTATAGAAAATTATAATTATTATTAGTTATATAATAACTATAAGAATCAATCTTATAAGACTTTATAATAAAGCTTTTATTATTAAAAGAATTATTAACAAAAGTTAAGTATAATAATATTTTTATAATTATCGATAAATTTATAAAATATATATACTTTATTTTATATAAAAAAAAATAATATTAAAAAACTAGTATATATATTCTTATAAATAGTTATAGCTAATTATAAACTATTAAAAAAATTAATTTTAAATTAAAATAAGCTATTTATATTAAAATTCTAACAATCATTTATAATATAATTAGAAACTAACTATAAGCTATCTATAGTTTAACATTTTAAGACTAATAGACAAACAAAAAGATTAAATTAAATTATTAAATAATATTTTTAATATTATATTAATTATAAACAAAATAATTAAATTATATTATTATTAATAGCTTAATTTAATTATAATATATTAATTAGTAAGTTAACAAAAATATTATCATTTTATATAAACTATAGATTTAACCTAAAATTTAGCTATCTAATTAAAATAAAACTAAAATCAGAAAAAGCAATATTTATAGTAAAATAACTTTAATAGCTTTATCAAAAAATAAGAAATTAGTTAGTATTTATTAGAAAATAAATGTTAAAGTATTATAACTTTTAAAAAATAAAGAAACCATTCTTTAAAAAAGAAGATAAAGTCTATCTTATATAATAAAATATAAAAATAAAATAATTAAATGATAAATTAAATTATAAAAAACTTAAACTATTTAAAATCAAATAGAAAATATTAAAACTTAACTATAAACTCTTATTATCTAAAACTATAAAAATATACTTTATTTTTTATATTTTACTTTTAAAACTAGTATATAAATCTATAAAACTTTAAATAAATATTAAAATAAAATCAAACTAAGAATATAAAGTAGAAAGAATATTAGATTTATAAAAGAAAAAATAATAAATATAATATTTAGTTAAATAATAAGATTATAATAATTTAGAAAATATATAAAAATCTTTCAAATACTTATAAAATTACTTTAATTTAGTTATTTAGTTTTATCAAAATCTTTTACTAACAAACCTATAAAAGCAAATTCATTATTTAAGCTTAAAAAAGATTAGTTTATATTATTCAAAATATTTAGTAAACGAAGGTTATCTACTATAAACTATTCTTAAATAAAGATAAAAAAAACTATTTTATCCTCTTTATCTAACTTTTATATCCTTCTTTAAAAAGCTTTAGAATACTTTTTAGATACTATCTTCTTTATATAGTATAGATAAGCTAGACGGCTGATAGCTATAGATAATTATATTTAAAAAGTAAAGAGTACTTCTTTAGTATCTATCTCTTCTTATTTGATTTTCTTTTGTTAAAAGGCTAGTTATATAAAGGTGAAGGCTATAAAGATACTATTATAAAAGCAACTTAAATAAATATACTTAAAACAATAAGAAAAGCTACTTACTATATAATAAGTAAGATTCTACTTAAAACAATAAGTATAAAATATTTTAGTTAGATTTTTAGAAAGTTCGATATTGACAGTAAGAATAAGTTAGGCTAAAGATTTTCTTAATTTTAGTTTTGATTTCTCTATATAATCTAATATAGTGTTAGTATCTTAAAAGAAGTAAAGAATATAGTTTTAGAACCTATTAGATAGATAATATCTAAATATTTAACTAAGTCTTTAAAATATTAACCTTAAAGAAAGGAATATTATATTATAGCTAGAAAATAAGCTACTATCAAAAACCTTATAATAAATATAAAAAATAGAAAGGATATTATATAAAAATAAGATAAAGGCTACTTATAAGCTAGAGATTATAGATTATAATAAGCTATAGTAAGCTACTATCTATAGATTATAAAAGATTCTAATGATCTTATATAATATAGTTTTATATAAGACTATACTTATAACTATAAGCTTAGAAATAAAGAGACTAACTCTTTAGCTTTTAATACTATAGTTTGATTCTATAATTAATAAGATCTAATAAGTTATAGTTATCTATCTTTATAAATATTATTTAAATATCTTTCAATCTATCTTAGGATATAAACCTAAGAACTTTTAGTTATTTATTGGCATATTGATAGGAAGGATTGTTATATTTTAACACTTTTAATAAAATAAATTAGTCGACTACTTTTATTAATTAAGCGAATATTATCTTAGACTTTTCTATTTTTTGGTTTTTTATTATTGATTCTAATAAAACTAAATAACTAAATTAAAATAATTTTATAAATATTTAAAAGATTCTTATATATTTTCTAAATTATTATAATCTTACTATTTAACTAAGTATTATATCTATCATTCTTTCTTTTATAAATCTAGTATTTTTTCCATTTTATATTCTTAATCTAATTTTATTTTAATATACTTTCTATCTAGTCTTCAGTTTAGGCTTTGTTAAACCACCGATGATCAAGCAGTTTGGTGATAGTCGGCCGCTCATGGGGATTATATCGGAAAATGAGCACTAGTAGCGACACAATCATCTTCTCTTCTTCCTCACTAATGTCCGGTGCTTTATTCGTATGGAAGAGAACCTCTAATGAGTCGTGAGGTTTGGGTGGGTCACGTTCTCCAACGGACCAGTCATCCATGTCGTCATCGGCGGACTCGTCTTCAGTCTTTTCTGTGTCACTTTCATTCTCCCCGTTATTCGAAAGGCGAGTGTCTGATCCTCCGTCAGAGCCCTCATGCATGTCGAAGTCCCAGGGCCAGGCATCGAGCCGCCCACCATTGGCGTCATAGTATTTGCTAGCTCGCGTCCATCGCAAGAGTAGGCCCTCAGGTAGAGGCCCAATAATGTCAGTGAGTTGGATCAGGTGATCATCGTTAATCAACTCATCACTGTCGTTCAGGGGCGGTATCTGGAATAGTGGCAATCCTGTTAGAAGCTCGAAGAGAATGCACCCGAAGCTCCAGACGTCAATGCCCTTTCCGACGGAACAACCAAGAATTGATTCTGGGGCCCTGAGGGAAGCCGGAGTCACGACCCTATCAGGAGGGTTGCTCTCCATGAAGGCTGTTGCAAAGTTTTAGTAATTATCTGCTTACGAATGGGACGGAGCAGTGAAGATACGTACCCCCGCCCATGTCAATAATCTTCACGATCTCGTCATCTCCTTCCAGAACAAAGTCGGACAGTGGCATGCCCACAGCCAGATAGCTGGGCGCCCATAGGTCAACCTTCCCATCAGTCCTTTGAAGATGCTCGATTCGTGAGTTTGTGGCGGTTTGTGAAAGGACTTCGGGTTTGACCGAGCTTAGGTCCTTGATGGCAAAGAGTATGTTCCCAGACTGTAGATCACCGTGTACAACACCGTTACCATGGAGAAACTGGAGAGCTAAGAGGACCTGCCGGAGGATTCGCTTAACACGATCTTTGGGAAACCGTCGAGGTTGGGGATTCAGGGGGTCATAGTCTTCGATGGGAGCGTTGAGAATGGCGGACACACTAGGGCCCATTGGTTCAATGACAAGGCACAAGTGGCTCCCATTCGGCCCCTTATGGGTGAAGGAATCCAGAAGAGTGACAACGAATCTAGAGTTAGGGTCATGTGGTGCCTTAGTAGCCAGCATGGACTGAATCTGCAGCTGCCTGCTTTCGTCCAGTCCAGCTCTGTGAACCTTCAAAGCTACATACCGGGTAGCGCTTTATGGTTGATAGTCGACGGTTAGTATGGGTATAGGTAATCATAATGACAGAGAAGCGGTTGGGATTCATGAGTGAAATACACACGTTAAATCAAGCGCCAGCCACACTGTCGCGAACGACCCGTTACCAAGCTTTCGGATGATGCGATAACGATCATTCAGGACGTCACCAAAATGAATAGGATGTAGGCCACCTGGGTGATAAGACTCGGCCCATTCGCAAGGAATCCCGAGGGGGAGAAATCTGAAGTCCTTCTCAGAAACCGGGTCCTTTTGTGAGGGCGGTGTAAGGGTCATTGTGGTACGAAGATGGTGCCGAGGATGAAGCAGCACCGGGAGGATGCAGCAAAATGTTCTTGTTTTGAGTTTGTTGTGTGCAGCTCTGGCGAAATGGCGATTGGAAATGAAGTTATCTGTTGAACAGCGTTTCGTTTGACCGATTGATTTGTAGCCAATCAGCATCGTAGCCTGAGGCGCCAAGTACTTGTCCCTTGATTGGCTGAGAAAGAACCTGCCTAAGCCAGGTTAAGCTGTGGATTCTGTGGATTCTGTGGATTCTGTGGATTGGATCACTTTCATGAATTACCCGCGCGCGTCTAAATGGCCTTGACCGACTCCGCTGAATGAGTGTCAGGCATGGTTCGATTCATATAAGCCTAGACTAGACTGTTAAAGCCTACTTCAGAGTTATGATGACGCATCGGGCCCATTCTTAACGCTCGTTGGGGCTCGGCAAACGGCCAACAGATTTAAGACTGAAACAACGCAGTTGGTGGCGCAGATATTCAAGACAGTCTGGAATGGCTAGGCAGGGTTGATGAATGGTCAGTTGATGTGGGCCGGCGCATAAGTGAGGTGTAATGGCATACCGGCCAGATTAATCATGCCAAATATAGACAGAGTCCCCTTCTAGATGACAAGGGAAAACGGTCAGTAAAGTGCCCCCCCCTCGTTAATCTATTGTAGTTGCTTGGGTTTCTGCTCTGGCCGTCGAACTATGAAGTCTGTTATGGGGTTGCAACGGCGCGAGCTGCGACCGGGTCTATCCTATGCGCTAAATAAGTTGAGCAGTTGTTGGTTCCAGAATTGAAGTCTGCGAGAGAAAACTCGAATTGTAGTTGGCTCTGTAAATGCCGTCCCCTTGCGGCCTCCCAATCGACGACCTCTCCTTTACCTGACGCGGCTCTGTTGGCATCGGGATACATTCGTTTAACAACGACTCGTCTCGACTCGTATAAGAGAAGGACATTACGGTATGTGCGGCTTTGTCTATAAAGGGGGCGTTTTCTTGAGAATATCTGAGAAGGTGGCACCTTATCATCCAAACTTGCACACCGGTCAGAAACTTTGTAGTTGTTCTTCAATATCATTAAGTTCATTTTGTTTAATCGAGGCTCCGGTCGGGCAATTGGGTTTCATTTTATACTTGTCTTCTCACTGTATCGGTTGTTCACTGGTCATTGAAATGTCGTCCTTACAAGTCGAGTATAATCCGCCGACGATGTACAGCGGAAGAGGAAACGTCCGAGAAAATTTCAAACGTCTTGTTCGACAATTCGCCCGGAATCGAGGACTTGACTCGGTCTGTGTTCTTGCAATCATCGTGTAAAGCCCCTGACATAGACCCTCATTTCTAAGACCCTGGACGTATTAACGAATTTCACATGTAGTAACGGTCCACATACTAGTCGAAGCGATGGGCGGAACCATTTGACTGTCGACTTCTATGAACCTGGAGAAAGAGAGGGGACATTCCGTCCCTACTCACGGGAACATGTGCCGGCTACTATTCCTCGCCGTCGCCATCGCTAATGGCCCGCTTCAAACCACAGCTGTACTTCGCCTTACGGCTTGGTCCAAATACAGAGGCACGCTATCTCCGAGACTCAGAAATTGTATTTATCGTAACTGGTGTTAAAAGGTGTTTGGATTAACTTAAATACATTGTCATGTACTGAAACAGGGCAGCAG